CTCCTTATCAAAATACCCAGCATTCATCTTACCAGACAAAGTAAATCAAAGGAAGAACCAGCTGGAGTTAACCAACTTGTTTTCCCCTGTATATCAGGTATATGCTGCAATTTTGCAGATCAATTGGCCCACTGAAATAAGCAGCGGCAGTCCACTGAAACTGGACACAAAGCTGTGTGGCCATGCTTGCGATAACTTTCCAAAGGCCTTATCTTTGTAAAGGGACATTGTAATTTAGCAACTGATTGGGTTTTATCCCTGCTTAAAGATGTGCTTTGATTACACTTTTATCTGAACATAAAAAGGCCTGGAGAACAGGGGGTACCTAGCAATAGAATTTTCCTCTCTGGTTATCTTTTCTATGTTATTGGTTTAGAATATTTTGCAGATTGAGAGAGAGGAGAGAGGAGAGAGAGTGGAGAGAGGAGAGAGAGGAGAGAGAGGAGAGAGAGAGGGAGGAGAGAGAGGAGAGGAGAGGAGAGAAGAGAGAAGAGAGAGGAGAGAAGAGAGAGAGGAGAGAAGAGAGAGGAGAGAAGAGAGAGGAGAGAGAGAGGAGAGAGAGGGGAGAGAGGGGGAGAGAGAAAGGAAGGAAGCAAGGCGGGGATATAATCCTCAAACCCTTGCCCCCAGGGACCCACTTCTTCCAGCAGGGTCCCACCTGCTAAAGGGTCCACAGACGCCCCAAACAATATCACTAACTGGAAACGAGGCCTCCCCCTGGGTTTAAGGAAAGAGCATGGGGTGGAGAGAGAGGAGAGAGGAGAGGGGGAGGAGAGAGGAGAGAGAGGGGAGAGAGGGGAGAGAGAGGAGAGAACAAGCATCCCCATTGGTGTGTGTGTGTAAGCATGCCCATTTGAGAGAGAGAGAGAGGAGAGAGAACAGCAGCCTAGAGTCTGTTACACAAGCTGTGCAGGATGGTTTGAGAGAGAGTGACTGAGAGAGAGAGAGAGGAGAGAGAACAGCAGCCTAGAGTCTGTTACACAAGCTGTGAAGGAGAGAGAGAGAGAGAGAGAGAGAGAGAGAGAGAGAGGAGACAGAGAGAGATCAGAGGTAGAACAGAGACAGTAAGAGTCACAGAGTAGGAAGCGGGAGACAGAGTTCAAGGGGGGTGAGAGAGAGAGAGAACAAGCATCCCCATTGGGGTGTGTGTGTACAAGCATGCCCATTAGAGAGAGAGAGAGAGAGATCAGAGATAGAACAGAGATAGTAAGAGATAGAGTCACAGTAGGAAGGGGAGACGGAGTCGGGGGGGAGAGAGAGAGAGATCAGAGATAGAAGATAGAACAGAGATAGTAAGAGACAGAGTCACAGAGTAGGAAGGGTAGACAGAGTCCAGAAGAGAGGGAAGAGAGAGAGAGAGAGAGAGAGAGAGAGAGAGAGAGAGAGATCAGAGGTAGAACAGAGACAGCAAAAGAGTCACAGAGTAGTTCGGGAGAGAGGGGGGAGAGAGATAGAGAGACAGAGACAGAGACAGACAGAGATACAGAGAGACAGAGAGAGACAGATGCAGAGAGAGATGAGGACAGAGAGAGACAGAAAAAATGGAGAGAGAGAAAGAGAGAGAGAGAAGAGAGAACACAGATCACAGGCAGGGACAGACAGGGAGACAAATACAGAGGAGACACAGGGAGACAGTCAGCCAACTGATTTTGCTCTAGTGCCCTGGGCTGAATATTCTCAGAGGCCCTGGGAACCAGTCCAAGGGGCCCAAGTGAGGTGGGATTCAAAGTCAAGAGCTGGAAATGGAGTGTGTTTCCAGAGAAGCCAGGGGCTGGGAGAAGTCAGAGAGTAGCAGGGCTCAGGGTCCTGGGTCTGAGGGAGGAGGGCTGGAGTCTGAGCTCCTGGGTCTGAGCTCCTGGGTCTGAGCTCCTGGGTCTAAGCTCCTGGGTCTGAGAGAGGAGGGCTGGGGTCTGGACTCCTGGGTGTGAGGGAAGAGAACTGGGTCTGAGGGAGGAGGACTGGGGTCTGGACCCCTGGGTCTCAGGGAGGAGGGCTGGGTCTGGACTCCTGGGTCTCAGGGAGGAGGGCTGGGTCTGGACTCCTGGGTCTGAGGGAGGAGGGCTGGGGTCTAGACTCTTGGGTCCGAGGGAAGGGGGCTGGGGTCTGAGCTCCTGGGTTTCAGGGAGGACGGCAGAGGGAAGAGGACTGATGCTCAGAACTCCTGGATCTGAGGGAAAGGGGGCTGGGGTCTGAGCTTCTGGGTTTCAGGGAGGAGGGTTAGGATCTGAGCTCCTGGGTTTCAGGGAGGAGGGCTTGAACCCGGACTCCTGGGTCTGATGGAGAAGGACTGGAGACTCTTGGGAACCCTGACTCTTGGGTCTAGGACAGAGCAGGCAGACCCAGTCTCTGGGTCCGAGTGGAAGAAGGGGCTGGGTAGGGGCTCTGACTGCAAAGACAAGGGAGAGAGGGGGCTGGGAGCTGTGTTGCAGCAATCCTTGGGGAAAAGAAGGCTGCCAGCCCGACCCCTGGCCGGGCGTGGTGTCTGGGGAGGGCGGGGTGCCTGCCGGCTGTTGGGGGCCCTAGGTCCTGGAGGGGGCGATCTGTTCCGGCCCGGTCTGCAGCTCTCGGTAGGCATGATCTGCAGAACTGTGGCCGCGGGTCCGGGCCTTGCGGATTGCTCCCCTCGGGGTCTGGGCTCGCCCTGGTCTCGGGGAACCGGCTCTTACCTCCGCCTCCTGCGCTCCTTTCTTCCTTCCCCGCTGCCGGGCAATCCGAACCGTGGTGTCGGGGAAGGGAGGGCGAGCGTGATAGGGGGGTGGAGGAGGAGAAGGCTGGGCTCGGTGTCACCGCCTAAGCCTTCCCCCCGGAAACCCAGTGTTTGGTCGGAGGCTAGAAGAGGAAAGACTGCCTGAGAAGCCGGAAGCGGAGGACCAGGGACCTGGTGGGGTGGGGGGGACAGAGAGGGAGGTCGGTGCGACTCCTGGACCCTGGGAGGAGAAGGGGCTGAGGCCTGTCCATTGGACCCCTAGAGGGAGGTGGGGGCTGCAGGCCTTAGACGTCAGATCCAGCTTACCACCCCGCCTCCTTTTCCCGACAGATAGATACACATATTCATTCATTCTTCAACAAGCACGCATTTACCAAGCCTGCCTGTGCCAGGCACTGTGTTCGGGGAAGGAGGATGGGAGGGAGGCAGAGATGGAGCCGAATGAAGCCGCGATACAGGCTTCAGAAAGTACCCACAGCCTGGAATCCCTTGGTTGCCTGGGCAAGCAATTCCGTCTTCCCTGAGCCTCAGTTTCCCCCTTTGTGATAGGTCCCTGGATCATAGTTTTCTGAGTACCTACTGTGGGCTAGCTCTGTCCTTGGTGCTGGATCAATAGCGGCGAAAGGAAAGAAACCATGGTCTCACGCAGAGGGGTGAAGACCGGGATCAGTCACTGTGTGATTGGGGGATTGCTCTGATTCAGGAAAGTGGATGGTGTGGGAATGCAGGGGACCCAATAGGCAGTGATCTGGCTTACAGTGAGAGTGGATATCATTCTTGTGGCTCCCAGGAGTAGCAAGGTTTCATTGAACCTGGAGATTCAAAGTTGCAGCCTCCTGAACGGAACCAACATAGCCACATCTCTCAAAGCTCCTGTGAAGCTGGAGGGCCTTTGCAGGAATCTACCTGCACTTGATTGTTGTTTTTCTTTAGGGTTACACTCATACCGAACATTGTTGGCAACAGTTCGGGCAAAGAGTTCCTTCTGTACTTGTCTGGGGTGAGTAGAGTTCGGAAGACTTAACAAGCCAACAATTCTAGGAATTTATCCTTCAGAGATCAGAAACATGTGAAATTATGTTTGTGCCAGGTTTGTTGTTGCAATCTTTCTCTTTTTTTTTAAAGGAATTAAATGTAGGTATTTTGGGGTCAGCAAGAAGGCTCAGTGGATAAAGGAATCTGCCACCAAGTCTGACACCTGGAGTTTGATGTCTTGGAGTCACATGGTAGAAGGAGAGAACTGATTCCTGTGGTTGTCACTTGATCTGCACACCTTCACACATATATACATGCACACAAAGAAATAGACAAGGGCCGGAGAGATGACTCAGCAGTTAAGAGCACTGGCTGCTCTTGCAAAGGACCTGGGTTTGGTTCCAGGCACCCACATGGCAGCTAACAATAGTCAGTAACTCCATTTCCAGGGGATCCGACACCCTCTTCTGACCTCCGTGAGCACTGCATGACATGGGTGCATTTCTATATATGCAGGCAATACACTCATACACATAAAATGAAAATAATATTTTAAAATAAGCAAAAACATATGTGGCTGGAGACATGACTCAGTGGTTAAGAGTGTTTACTGCTCTTCCAGAGAACCCAAGTTTGAACCCCAGCACCCAAGTCAGGTGGCTCACAACTGCTTGTAAATCCAGTTGCAGGGGATCCATCACCCTCTTCTGGCATCTGAAGGCATACACATAAATAAAACAAATGTAGTTATTTTTATTACATTTATTTATTTATATATGTGGGTGTGCACATACCATGGTGAGTGTGTGGGCGTCAGAGGATGACTTTCGGGAGTCAGTTCTCTCCTTCCTCCATATGGGTCCTGGGGATCGAATTCAGTTCATCAGCACCTTTCCTTACTGAGCCAAATCACAAGCCTATTGTTGTGGGTTTTGTTTTGTTTTTGGTTGGTTTTGGGGTTTTTTTTTTTTTTTTACCTGGAACTCGCTATGTATTTTTGAGACAGGATCTCCCTGGGGTCCCAGCTGGCCTGGAACTCACTATGGAGACCAGGCTGGCCTTGAACTCACAGAGATCCGCCTGCCTCTGCCTCCTGAGTGCTGGGATTAAAAGTGTGTGCCACCATGCCCAACAATTTTTATTTATTTTTATTTTACTTGTATGAGTGTTCTCCACTGCATGTATATAAGTATATCACGTGCACTCAGTGCCCTCAGAGACCAGAAGAGGGTGTTGGATCCCCTGGAACTGGAGTCACAGATGGTTGCCGTGTAGGTGCTAGAAACTGAACTTGGGTCCTCTTGAAGAGCAGCCAGGATTTTCAACTGCTGAGCCATCTCTCTAGCCCAAACATTGTTACAGCTTTGAGCACCACTATGAATGGCTGAAAATCTCAGTAAGAGATCTGAAGAATAAAATTATAACCCGGTAGAATATTGTGTGTCCTAAGAAAGAAGGAAGAAACTCACTGTGTTGAAAATTCTGGGGACTGGAGAGATGGCTCAGCAGTTAAGAGCACTGGCTGCTCTTACAGAGGATCTGGGTTCAGTTCTCAGTTCCCACATGGTGGCTAACAACTGTCAGAAACTCCAGTTCCGGGGGAATCCAATGCCCTCTTCTGACCTTGGTGAGCACTGCATAACATGGGTGTACTTACATACACGCAGGTGATATACTCATACACATAAAATAAAAATAATTTTAAACTAAGCATGGTGGTACACGCCTTTAATCCCAGCACTCAGGAGGTAGAGGCAGGCAGATCTCTCTGAGTTCAAGGCCAGCCTAGTCTACATAGTGAGTTCCAGGCCAGCTGGGACCCCAGGGAGGCCAAAAAGTCTCAAAAAGTCCAAAAAATTTTTTTATTAAAAAAATCAAAATATGAAAATTCTCCAACTGGTAACATGAAGGGGTGGGGAAGGAAGGTGAACAGCCTGCCGCCTGTGCTGATGATTTGTGCTAGTGTTTATCAGTGGCTTGGACTGACTGAAAGAACAGAGAAGAAATTGGTTACATTGGGACTGAAATTTTTGGTTTGCTTTTTTATTTTTGAGACAGGATCTCCCTGTAGCCCCAGCTGGCCTGGAACTTGCTCTGTAGACCAGGTTGGCCTCAATAGCACAGAGATCTGCCTGCCTCTGCCTCTCAAGTGCTGGGATTAAAGGTGTCTGCCACCACACCTGGTCCACACTGAAATTTATTACTTTATTTTTTGGTAAATTTTTAGTTTGAAACTACGTGAGTGTGTTTTATGCCCAAAAGAGTAAATGGAAAATAAGTGAACATAAAAACCCATAAATAATTCATTTTTGTGTTTTAGAAATGTGAACTGATTTATTCCTCCTTATTATGAAATAACTAACATTTTGTGTCCCACACAAATGGTATGTGCCCTTAATCCCAGGAGGCAGAGGCAGGTAGGACTGAAGCCAGCTTGGTCCACATAGTGACTTCCAGGTGGGCTGGGACTAGGGAGACCCTGTTAAAAAACAAACAAACAAAACCATTATGTGTCCCTTTCACAGAGGACAAAAGTGAACTCTCAGATGGATTGCAACAAGATTTTTGGCTTCACAAAGAGACATGATAGTGGACTTGGGACATGATATTGTTCTAATTCTGTTAAAAGTACTTTGAGCTGGCCAGATGGTTCAGAGGACAAAGGTGCTTGCTTCCAAGTCTGACATTGACCTCAATCCCTGAAACCCATGTGGTGGAAGGAGAGAACCGGCTCTAGAAAGTTGTCCTCTGATCTTTATAGGTATGCTGTGGTACACACACACAAACACAAATAAATGTAAAAAATAAACAAAAACACTTACATAAAATAAACAATGGAACAGCTGAAGAGATAGTAAAATCTGTGTTCAATCCCCAGAACCCACAGAGAAAAGCTGGATGTGGTGGGCACTTACAATCCCAGCTCTAAGGAAGTGGAGACAAATGGGTCCCTGGGACTCCCTGGCCAACATGTCTACCTAATCAGCAAACTCCAGGTCAATGAAGGACCCTGTTCTAAAGGAGGTGGACTTCATTCCTGAGGAGGACTCCTGAGCTTGTCTTCCTGCCTCCATACGCATGTATGCCTGCATACACAAACACGCATACATCCACATCCACACATACATGCATTAAAAAATAAAATATTAGCCAGGCGTGGCAGCGCATGCCTTTAATCCCAGCACTCGGGAGGCAGAGGCAGGCAGATCTCTGTGAGTTCAAGGCCAGCCTGGTCTACATAGTGAGTTCCAGGACAGCTGGGGCTACAGAGAGACCTTTTGTCAACAGCTGTGCTATATTTGAAGCCTGAGTGGCCATGGATGGCACAACATATTCACACTGAAGAGGGAGGGAGTGGCTTTTACACATTCTTTTGTACCCCAGCAACAGAAGCAAATAAATACCTATTTGCAAAATAAAAACATAAATAAATAAATAAATAAATAAATAAATAAATAAATAAATAAAGGTTCCTAGTAAAATTTCTCTCTTTTTTTTTTCCTGGTCTTTTTGAAACAGGGTCTTCCTGTAGCCCCAGCTGGCCTGGAACTCACTATGTAGACCAGACTGGCCTTGAACTTACAGAGATCCACCTGCCTCTGCCTCCCAAGTGCTGGGAATACAGGCATGTACCACCACGCCTGGTTAATTTTTTTTTCAATTTTATTTATTATGTGTGAGAATGAGTATAGGTACACCTGTGCCATGGAGCTCATGTGGAAATCAGAGTACATTTTTTTTTTTTGGTCTTTTTGAGACAGGGTCTCCCTGTAGCCCTAGCTGGCCTGGATTCACTATGGAGACCAGGCTGGCCTCGAACTCACAGAGATCTGCCTGCTTCTGCCTCCCGAGTGCTGGGATTAAAGGTGTGCACCACCACACCTGGCTCAGAGTACAATTTCAAAAAATTTTTTTATTTATTTTTTTTTATTTTACGTGCATGAATGCATTACCTGCATGTAGGTAAGTGCACTTGTGTTGTGTAATGCTAGCAGAGGACAGAAGAGCTGTCAGATCCCCTGGAACTGGAGTTAGGACAGTTGTTAGCTGCCATGTGGGTGCTGGGATTTGAACCTGGGTCTTCTGCAAGAACAACCAGTGTT